CACATTTTACCAATTCCAAACCACATCAATCTTAATAACTACTATTATTTTTGTATTTAATAATTTAGAAGTGATACTGTATATAATTGTCCATGAAGGCTAGAAATTAAAAACTCCTTATTAAGGTGTGCAGAATTATTAGGCAGGTTTTTTTGTACAGATGAAATGAGCCAAAAAAAAAAAAGAGAGAGCATTATCTCAGACTGAGAAGTCAAAAATGATTAAATCCCCATGAGAAATATTTGTAAGTGAAATGTTAAGTAATGTAAGGTCTTTCATGACACTACATATGCTGGGGTGTGAATTTGATAGGTGCTTGATATAAAATAAATGGTGCTTGAAAAAGTCCTTGAATCTGGTGTTCATGAAAGAGTGGGAACCCTGTGATTAATTAATATTAAATATTCACCATTTCTCTCATATTTAACATTTAACATGACTATGATGCCTTCAAATATTTCCTCTGTAGCTAGCTTAGGTTTTTCAACAGTGCAAGTGATAATGATAGTTTGTGAATCGCTTCTACTTGGGATGGTACCAGTAACTTTATGGCTTCCAGCCCAGATCTTTTACCAGTATGCCACACCACCCAGCAAGACAAACAAAACAAGTGCCACCGTGAAGCACAGTAGCCATGGAAATTGCAGATAAACCAAACACAGTTTATCAGCGCATTTTTACAACCAGTAATTTCCCTAAACATGTTCCAGAGCCTGTGTCAATATTGACTTGCTGAGTTAAACATGCCAAAGACTCGGAGAGTTGATTCATTATATGTCTGTCAGCAGTTCATCTTCAACAGTTGAATTCCTGATCCCAGATCAGTGTCAGTTTTCAGATACGTGGACTATATGAGGACTTTTGATAAACCACCATGTTACCTGAAGCCGCCTTTCATTAGATTACCTTCTTCATTAGTGGCAGGAAACTCTGGTGTTCAACTGGAAAGAAGCAATTATTGTTTTTTAACAAGGTTACAGGCCACATTACCCCTGCGCCCCATGACTTCTGCAGCTCATCGCTTTCAAGGAATTCTCCTCCAATCTGATGGGTTTATAATCAGATCACAGCCCACGCGGACAGATGGAGTACGTCACAATAATTCCATTGCTTCTTTGCAATTCAGTTGTTAAATTTTGTAATTTGGTCAAGTCTGGGTGTATTATTGGTCTTAAACGCACAATCCGAGATCTGCATGGTTCTTTGGAATACTTGATTCTGATTGGCCATTCTATAATCAGCTGTTTTTGTATAATGATGCTAAACTGTATAATCGACCGTGCTCTGATTCAACGGATGCCCTACATTGGTTTGCAAGATTGATGGATTGTATCATTCTGCAGTTTTCTACTTCTCACATTATAAACTATGATGTTTAATGTCCAATATGTTTATTTATTTATTTGCTACTTAGCTGTGTAATAAGTGGGATAATGTATAATCAACCAGCCATTATCGCAAAATGAATCCTTTCGGGGTGATAAATAACCTGACGTGAAGCATACGTTGTCATTTACTTAGGTGTGTAAATGACAACGTATGGTCTAAAATATCTGTTTTGTTGTCAGTGATTTCCGCAGTGATGGAGACAGTCCGTCGGATCTGAACTCGGATTCTTTGTTTACCGTCAGCAGCAGCAGCCGAACCCGCGGAGTGGAGCGCCCAGGGTCAGAAATGAGCTGAATCTGAAGTCACAGCTTGTCATAGTCCTAGATCCTGAAATGCTCATCTGTGTTTATTTCTTACAGCACCAGCAGGTCCGGCTGGCGATTTGACCGAGACATGGGCCTTATGAACGCTATTGGCCTGCAGCCGCGTCAGGCCGCCCCTTCTGTGACCTCACAGGGGACGCAGACACCAGTAGTGCGACTGCAGAATGCCGTATTGACTCGGTGAGTCAAACATGCCAAAGACTCAGAGAGTTGATTCATTATCTGTCTGTCAGCAGTTCATCTTCAACAATTGAATAGTCAAGCGAGTTCCCGATCCCAGATCAGTGTCAGTTTTCAGATACGTGGACTATATGAGGACTTTTGATAAACCACCATGCTACCTGAAGCTGCCTTTCATTAGATTACCGTCTTCATTAGTGGCAGGAAACTCGGGTGTTCAACTGGAAAGAAGCAGTTATTGTTTTTTAACAAGGTTACAGGCCACATTACCTCTGCGCCCCATGACTTTTGCAGCTCATCGCTTTCAAGGAATTCTCCCCCAATCTGATGGGTTTATAATCCGATCACAGCCCACACGGACAGATGGAGTACGTCACAATAATTCCATTGCTTCTTTGCAATTCAGTTGTTCAGTTTAGTAATTTGGTCAAGTCTGGGTGTATTATTGGTCTTAAACGCACAATCCGAGATCTGCACATGGCTCTCTTGAATACTTGATTCTGATTGGCTGTTCTACAATTAGCTATTTTTATACAGTATAATGCTAAACTGTATAATCGACCATAATTGTCCCATTCAACGGATGCCCTGCATTGTTGTGCAAGCTTCATGGATTGCATCATTTTGCAGTTTCACGATAAACTATGATATTTAATGTCCATTTGTTTATTTATATATTTGGTACTTAGCTGTGTAATAAGTGGGATAATTTACCATCAGCCAGTCATTATCACAAAATGAATCCCTTCGGGGTGATAAATAACTGGACGTGAATCATACGTTGCCATTTACTTAGATGTGTAAACAAGATAATGAAGTCTAAAATATCTGTTTTGTTGTCAGTGATTTCCGCAGTGATGGAGACAGTCCGTCGGATCTGAACTCGGATTCTTTGTTTACCGTCAGCAGCAGCAGCCGAACCCGCGGAGTGGAGCGCCCAGGGTCAGAAATGAGCTGAATCTGAAGTCACAGCTTGTCATAGTCCTAGATCCTGAAATGCTCATCTGTGTTTATTTCTTACAGCACCAGCAGGTCCGGCTGGCGATTTGACCGAGACATGGGCCTTATGAACGCTATTGGCCTGCAGCCGCGTCAGGCCGCCCCTTCTGTGACCTCACAGGGGACGCAGACACCAGTGGTGCGACTGCAGAATGCCTAAAATCCACTTCTTTTTTTTTTTTAAACAAGAATATACAGTAAAAAAAAAACTAGTTTAAAAAGTCTTTTTTTTAAATAAACTACATTATAAACTAATAAAATCAGTATTATGTAATAATTTTTATTAATATGCACCAATATAACATGCATACAAGCTAAAAAGCAGTATTTCCCT